TGCAGCCCATGCCCTGCTCTGCTGGCTCAGCTCTCACTGCCATGCAGCTCCCTGGAGCCGCCCAGCCCTCTGTGCGCCGTCCCCACGCCTGCTTTGTCTTTTCCCAGCAACTCACAGGCATGAAGAATGAACAACACAACTCCAGAGCCACTCCACAGCAGATGGAATAATGGGTTCCCTTCAGAGATTCCGCCACACACACGACAAGCAGTGAGTGATGGAGCAGCAGTGACAGAGTGCTGTCTGCCATTGACAAGCTGCACTGCCCAGCACTCAAGTGGGTTTTTCAGCACTGGGCACCAACGTGCTCTTGGCATTCCTCAAAATGCCTGCTGTGTTCCGGCCCTGCCTTTAGGTATTACTGCTGCAAAAGCAGCCAGGAGCCACATTGCCAGAAGGCCACAGTGCTGACTGCTGCTCAGCTTCAGCAGCTGTGAACAGAAGACTGTAGAAGATCCCTCACAGCTCCTCCTACCTGACTGAATCTGAAAACGCAGCGGAGAAGTGCCAGGACCTGTGCAGCCAAGGGCAGCATCCCCGTGCTTAGCTGGGCAGGCTCTGCAGCAACACCAGCCCCCTGCCCTCGTGCAGCAGCCGCTCAGAAGCGAGGGTTCCACCAGCCTGCTGTGCCAGGCACCTCTGAGCTGCTCAGCACACACCTGGAATGCTCAGCACACCCCTTGTTTGTCCCTCATGGCACAAAACCACAGCAGAACCAATGAAAGACTCACTGCTTCCACAGCCAAAAGGATGCCATTTCCAACGACAAAGATAGCAGAGGAAGGCCCAGGGAGCACAGAGCAGGGTACCTTGCAGATCTGGCTGTTCCTCAGATTTTCAGCTTGCACCAGGAAACAATGCAGGAATTAAAGAATCTGCATGCAGTGTTGAGAAGTAAGCAGGGTGTGTTAAACAAGGAAGTCTATGCAGCAATGCTGTGCCATGCCATCCATGCTGGTGCTTGCTGCACAGGAGCATGCTCAGCTCCATGCCTCCCTGAGACAGGAACGCCAGCACTGAGCAGTGGCTGCATTAATTTGGGGTGTCCCACTCCCACAGAACACCAACACTTCCATTCCAACATTTGAAACGCTAAACAAATGGGTCAGCTTTGGATATAGCTCAGAAACTAAAATTAAAATGGTCTCTGGCAGGTAATTAAGCACTCTGCAGCAAAGAGCTGGGCTGACGGGCTCATCACCCCCAGCTCCTCTGCAGAACTGAGGAACACAAGCATTGCCATAAAGCTGGCAGTGCTCCTTCAGGCTCACAGCTGGGCTCGTGTGCACCCCCAGGCCCCAGCACTGTGGGAACACATGAGCACCAAGCTGGAACGCAGCAAACCTGCTGGGAAACTTCCACTGCTTGTGCAGGACCACATCTGACCCTGAACGACATCCACTCTGCACGTCAGCACAAGAGCAAAGCTTGCAATGGCACCTGCAGAGGGATGGGAAGCTGTCAGGTTTAAGAACAAAAAGCATCACTCAAACAGAACAATAAACCATAGATGTGCCTTCGGTTCTTCCAGCATCATTTTAATTTTACTACTAAACCCCTCTTTTGAAGACTTTTCTTTCTTGTTGAGTGAGATCCAGCAGCTAAGAGCCCTGCCACCAAAGCATGCCGTTTGTTTTAAACAAGTTTACTCTTTTGAATGGGACAAAGCACGCCTCAGGCTCAGATCCTTACCTCACGACACACGCAAGTCAGTTGAACAACTCCATTCAATATTTGAGCAACACTCACTAGGCAATGAACAACAGGAGCATTGTAGGAAGACTTTTGGCAGCTACTTCCTCTAAAACGCCATTCTGATCTTAGCATCCTGTGAGGATTAGAAGATGCCCACAACCACTCCCTGGGAAGCACCAAACCAAAGCCCAGCTTCTCGGTAACGGATGGCTGAGCTGCCAGAGCTGCAGCAAGGAACAGCCGTGTGCTTCCACCGTCACTTCTGTGCCACTGAAGCAAAAGCTTTGACGGATTCCAAAGCACACAGCCTTATAGAAGACACACGTTTCATCACATGAATACCTACTGCCCAGCTTCCAAATGGCAGAGCCAGCACTGTATGAACCGCTCCACGTTACCACCCAAACCTGTCACTGACATCGGCCTCTTGCTTACACAGGGGGTGACACATCAGCTTGGAGCTCAGTGTGAGGCAGCAGGTGTCTATTGGCCTCTTTACCTGTTCTAGCTTCAAGTACAACACATTAAGCAGCCCACAACAACCTGCTTCCAGGCCCCCTCCCAGTCTGCTGTGGTTTGCAGGGAACCACACAGTCCTTAGCAGCCAGAATGGTTCTGCAAGTATCACTGCTAGCAAACGCCTCATCCTGTGCACAGTGATCTGCTTAAAAGCCATCAGAAAGATCAAGTGGTTTCGGAAGTGGTGTTTGCACCTCAGTTCAGCAGGCAATGAGATGCTGCAACACACAAGTGTGTGACCATCTACCTAATAATTAACGTAATTGGGAAGACGCAGGCAGCAAGGCTAACACTTAACCTATGACACTACAAAGTCAACGCAGAAAGTCTCACACAGCGTGTTCCTAATGAGTAATTATCTAACCTATACTAATTTGCTGAGCATGTGCCTCTAACAGAACAGAGAATAACAGCCAACGCGCCCGTTTGCTTTCTGCCTCGAGATGAAGAAGGTACATTTTTGTGTGCGATTCTCAGAGGGGCAGAGCCACACCGCTCTAGGCAGAGGCAGCCTTAAGGTGCTCTCAAGCAGGAGAAGAGGAGCTTTTAACGCGTGCAGACAGCATTAGAACAAGAGGGGAACGGCTCCAAATTAAAAGAGAGGAGATACGAATCAGACGTGAGAGGAAATCCTGCACCCAGAGAGCAGCGGCACCGCGCAGCGCTGCGGGTCCCTATGCCTGGCGATGCCCCATACCCTGATAAAGCCCGTGCAGCCCGAGCTGTGAGCGCCGACCCAAAGCATTCCGTGCTTCGAGTTCCACCAGCACCGAGTTGGGCCGAGCGCGGCCTTCCCAGCCAGCACAGAGCGCCATGTAACCACGGGCCGAGCAGCACAGCGGCACCGGGCGAGGCCGCCCCTTCCCCGCCTCCTCCACCCCGCACACGTCGGTCGCTCACCTCGTCCTCCTTGTGGTTGCGGATCCCCCTCACCAGGTCCTGCAGGTTCTTATCGAACATGCGGTCGATGCTGCCCTTCACCATCTTCAGCGCCATGGCGGCGGCGGGGCCGAGCCGAGGGCCTGAGCCGGGCGCGGAGGGGCCGTGCCCGGCGGGACGAGCCGCCGCGGCTCCTAATAGCGCTACGGTCAGGTGAGAGCAGCGGGCCGGGCCGCTCACATCCCGGGTGGGAGGTGTGGAGATGAGGGGCGCGGCACAGGGAGGGGGGCAGCCCCGGTTCCGGCAGCGGGCTGCGCTCGGCCTGCGGGTGTCGACAAAATGGCGGCCGGTCAGCTGAGGGCTCGGCCACGCCCCGCGGGTGGCCACGCCCCTTCCGGTTATCGGACCGCCCGGCGGCTCCAGGCCACGCCCACGCGGCTTCCCGCGCGCCCTCCGCTGACCGCCGTCTCGCCGCTTTCCGCTGCCCCCGCCCACCTCGCGACCCCGCCCACCCCGTAGCCCCGCCCACCGGCGGTCCCACGTGGCAGCGCGGCGCGCTGGCTCGCTCTCCCCGCCTTCCCCCGCTCAGCCCACGCGTGGCATTGCGCACCTTCCGCGGGGCGGCACCCGCGGCTCCGCTCTGCACCCTCGGAGCGAAGGACCCCCTCCCATTCCCCTCCACGACCCCTCTTTCGGCTCAAAGCAGCTCCCCCTCGTTCCACCCCCCCGGGGCCGCCCCCACTGCCGCCATCTCGGCCCCACTCCCCCCGCGGCCGCCCCCGAGATGGCGGCGTTATCCCTTGGCGTCTCTGTGTCCGATCCCCCGAAATAATTAACGGAACCTCTTCGGGCCATTCAGCCGTAGGAACAGAGAAGCGTTTATTTTATCGCTGTGCTTCCCCCATAACCTCTAGCACGGAACCGTCCTGGTAGCCCAGCGACCCCAGTAGCACCGGTTCACTGGGGCGGAGGGACCTCTGCTGGTGCGAGGCTTAAATATTCCGTTCCTTCTCGTGGTCCCGCAGCTCCTGACCCATAGAACCTGACCCGCAGCACTTTTGCTGCTCGTGCCACTCGTCTCGTACCCCTTGTGCAACACGTCCCTCGCACATTCCTCGTGCAACGCGTCCCTGCTGTGCCACCCGCGCAACGTGCCTGCTCAGCCCACGCGAGGACTTTGACTGCTGGCTAATTAAGGAGCGCCCTAACGACCCAAGGAAAGCTGCTCCGTCCTGCCACGTTTGTCTCTGCAGGTGCCACATCTGCTCTGCCCCCGTGTGCCACCACAGCCCGTCACACAGCTTCTGCCGCCGTCCCGCAGTGCCTCCCCGTGCCAGCCTCGTTCCATCCTCCACGTCCACCACGGCCCCGCGGTGTCACAGCGTGCCAGCTCGGCGTTGTCACGCAGGCTCCGCTTCGTGCCACCTCTGCGCCCCGCAGCTCGGCGGTCTCCCGCAGTGCCACCCTCACGGCCACGCGGTGTCACCCCGCGCCAGCCTCGTTCCATCCTCCACGTGCCACCGCAGCTCCGTAACGTCGCCCCGCGCCACCACGCGGTGTCACCCCGCGCCAGCGCCGCTCCCGCAATGTCACCCCGCGCCGCCCCCCCCAACACACATGCGCACGTCCCGGGCGGGGCGAGGCGCGTTCCCGCGCGGGGGAGTGCAGCTGAGGACAGCGGCGGTGCCGCCCCCCGCCCCTCCCCCCGCCCCTCCCCCCGCCCCCGCCCCCGGCCCGGCCCCGGCGCTCATTGTGCTCCTCACGCCGGCGGCCCAAGATGGCGGCGGCGCCGGAGAGCCCCGCGAGCCGCTCCCGACAATAGAGGGCGGCGCGGGGGGGTGGGAGCGCGGGTCCTCCCCGCCTTCCTGCGGCCCCGCACCGCCTCACCGCACCGCGCCGCGCCGCCCGGGCCCGGCCCCACCCCGCAGCGCGCGGCCGCCCCGTAGCATGGTGCGGGGCCTCCGGCTGCGCCATGGGCGAGCGGCTGGAGCTGCGCCTCAAGTCGCCGGTGGGAGCCGAGCCCGCCGTGTACCCGTGGCCGCTGCCCGTCTACGTGAGTACGGGGCGGGGGGGGGAGGTGCGGTGCGGCCCTTCAGGTTCAGCCGTCGGCGCGTCGCGGTGTCCCCGTGTCACTTGTTTGTGCCTCCGCCGCCCGAGCGCTGCCGGCTCCGTGTCCGAGCGCTGCTTTTGCTTCCCACGTCTCTGTGCCCTGAGGGTCCCCGTATCCCGACCCCGAGCGCTGCTCTCGTTGCCGTGGCCCGGCCCTGCCAGCTGCGTTCCCCTCGGTCCCCGCGTTCCAAACCCCGAGCGCTGCCCTCGGTCCTCGTGTCGGTGCCCTGAGGGTCTCCGTGTCCCTGACCTGAGAGCTGTGTGATTTCAGTCCCCGTGTCCCAGCACTGAGCAGCGCCTTCGGTCTCCGTGTCCCACCGTTGTGGGTGCCATGTCCTAGTCTCAAGCAATGTCCTTGGTCCCCGTGTCCCACCCCTGGGGGTCCCCATATCCCACCCTTGTGGGTGCCGTGTCCCAGCCCTAAGCGGTGCCCTCAGTCCCCGTGTCCCGGTCCTGAGCAGTGCCCTTGGTCCCCATGTCCCGGTCCTGAGGTTGCCATGTCCCAGCCCCAAGCAGTGTCCTTGCACCCTGTGTCCTAACCTTGGGGCTCCCCACGTCCCAGCCCTGAGCAGAGCCCTGGGGATCCTCATATCCCAGCCCTGAGCAGTGCCCTCAGTCCCCACATCCCACTCTTGTAGGTGCCACTTCCCAGCCCCGAGCAGCGTCCTTGGTCCCCATTTCCCACCCTTGGGGATCGCAGCCCCGCGCAGTACCCCCATCCCAGCCCGGAGCTGTTCCTTCACCCCCCCCGCATCCCATCACGGTGCAGCAGCGGCTCTGTGCGTGCAACACGTGTGCCAACCCACGCGCACCCGCTCCTATCATCCCCAACCCGAGCGCCGCTCTGTTCAGGGACGTGCCGGGCACAGCTGCGTGCTGCGATAGGAACGCATCGCTCCGGAGCTGCAGCTCCTATCTGCCCTTTGCAGTTCTGCCTCCCGCCTTCCCCTGCAATGGACTTCAGCACGGCGCCGTGCAGCCGCAGCTCCGTCATTTCGTCTGCGCGCGCTGCGCTCAAATCCTCAGAAACTGAAAGTTACCGCCGCGACCGTTCGGTGCTCCCAGCGCTGCCAAACGTGAAGCCGCCAGCAGGAGCGCGGCTCGGAGCCGCTGCGCAGCACCGACGGGCTGATGTGCGAGCGCTGAACTGCTGACAGCTGTGGCAAAACGAGCCCTGCGCCGTGTAAACCCCCCTACCCCAACCCCCTCGTGTGTGTTAGCGTGCTGTTTGCAGCGTGGGGAGTGCTTGGGAAATAAGGGTGTTTCGGGTGAGGGAAATTAAGGCTTTCTGGCATAGGGAGTGATGATTTTTTAGTTCATTTAGGAGAAGACTTATACTTTGAGGATGGTGGGGTTGTCCCCTCCCCCGCCTCCCATCCAGTTGCTGCCAGAGCGATGTCCTTGCACGGCAGTGCTGCAGAACCTGATTGTCCAGCTTTGACCCCTCTGGGCACTGCAGCTGCCTCCCCGGTAACATTGGAACCAGCAATGGTTCATCCAGAGCTGATCCATTCTTTCCTGCGGTTGGCTCTGTGACACAGACGCACACAAACACACGCAGACGCAGCCGTTGCAGTGGTGGATGAACTCTGGAGCTTTGGCAATAAATTGTGTGCTTTGTGCTCCGTGTGCTGACACGGTGCTGAGCTGCGGCCCCGTGTTGGCTCAGCCCTGCTGGCAGCGGCTGCAGGCACTGCTGTGCTCCCTTGGACACAAACAGAGCATCTCTAAACCCATAGGAAGGGAGGTGGGATTCTGGGGAAGGGGATGGCACACCTCCCCAATTGGGTTTGGCTGCTGTCTGCTTTGGGGCTCTCAAAGGTAGAGGGGAAGGCGTGCAGTCCATGCTGGGCTGAGCACGTTAGGTGCGTTCCCTCTGCAGCACGTATCTCCTCTGCTCCAAAACAAGCAGCGCTGGCACTGCTGCTTATCTCTAGAATGAACAAATCCCCTCCATTCCTACCAACCAGCATCAGTGGGATCCCTCAGCAGCGTGGGGAGCTCTGCAAACCCCCTCTCTCTTCCCCTCCACGTCACGCTGGGGCCGTGGGAGGAGAGCAGCCGTCCTCCTACCGCCCCGTTACAGACATGAGCTGACAGCGTGACTCCTTCCCTGCTCCTCTCGGAGGAAAGGCTGCGGTTTCCTCACCCAGGAGCTCCGGGTGCTGCTGAGTTGAGTCGTGCGGTGAGTAATCGCTGCTCATGACTCACGGGATATTTTCTGATGCTGACCTCTGTTTTTACGGCTGCCCCGCTTCGTAGCAGCCGGGTGAGTGAGCGCTGCTGTGTGTGTGGTTTAACCCCTCGGCTCCCACGTGGCAGCCCGGGGCTCTGTCACAGACCAGAGGGATTGTATTGCAAATAAAAGCAAACCACGGCGTGAGAGATACAGGCATGGGGAAGGGATGTATGTTATCTGCTTGGAGTAAGTGGAATTCGTGGTTCTGGATGGTCTCGAATGATGCAAACTGAGGGTGGCATTGCAGTATAAATGCAATGCGAGTGCAGTATCGGGGTGCTGCAATGCAATGCAAACAGGTGTTGATATGCATGGCTTGGTGCTCATGCTGTACTTGTCCTTTTGACCCGGGTTACTCCAGAGGGTTGTGCTGAACTGCTTCACCCCCTGTGCTTGGTGCTGAGCACTTCGGAAGTTTGAAGGTGGAGATGTGTGCCATGCTGGGTGGCTTCTGCCTGTGGGCCCCTCTGTGCAACCGGTCCCACCTGTTGTGTGCAGAAGAAAGGTGTGCTGCTGGAAAACCCAGCTCAGCTCCACAATCTGATCTGGCTCTGTGTGCTTGAACCCCTCCGTGCTGAGCAGCGTGCGGAGCCTCTCACCTTCCAGACAGACCTTTGGCTGGCTGCATTGAATAGAATTCCCCAAAAGGTAGCTGCAAACCTGCTGGGCTGCCCTGATGCTGTAGGGCAGTGCTTCAGGTGCCTGTGACCACCTCCATCCCCATCTTCCAGCCTGGAAACCTCAGGGCTTTGCTCTGCCCCACCAGCTGGGGGAGGTGTCAGACCCTCGGCCCCCAGAGCTTTTGCTGTTGGGGGGGGAGCAGAACACTGTGATAAGGCTGTGCTGTTTGTACAGGTGGAAGGGCACCTTAGGATCCATGCTTTGTTTTTCTGTTCTTTTTTGTTTGTTTTCTTTTTCACGGGCTTTGCCCCTGCTTTATCCATCCGGTGAGGCACGCAGCGTTACTGGAGGAATGTGCCATGATAATGCATATGGCTGCAGCCTGCTGTGATCCTCCCAGCCCATACAGTTTGGTGATTCTGAGTGTCGCCCTTACAACAAAACACAACTGTGGAAACGAACCTCGTGATGTAGTGGTCGGAGGCCCTGCTTGGAGCTCTGTGGTTCCTAAGGTCTTTTCCAACCCAAGCGTTCTATGTAGATTCTCTGAATGGCAAACCTTACTGAAACCTTGTGGTGTGCAATGTCTGCCAGGGGAGGGCGGGGGGTTCCTAATATCCAATTTTAGGAATAATTTTGTATGCAAAGAGCAGTGATGCTCTGGCACAGCTGCCCAGGGCATGGTGGGGTCACCGTGCCTGGAGGTGTGGATGAGCTGCAGAGCTGTGGCACCGCGGGATGTGGTCAGCAGGCACGGTGGGATGGACTGGGGATCTGAGAGGTCTTCTCCAACCTTAAGGCTCTGACATGGCTTTAAGAGCACTGTTTTATGGTGCGTGGACACCTGCAGGGGTGGCCCTGTGCCCGCTGTCCCCAGCCACGTGCCTTTGGGGCGAGCTGATGGCGAGCAGCATCCCTGCATGCATGGGCTTCCCCTCTGCTCTTGTTCCGGCGGGGGGGGGTGGGATGTGGGGGCTGTGTGTGAGCTGGTGGCTGAAAATATCTGTCTGGAAGCCAATGTTACAGCGTTTTCCCCTCCGCCCCGTGACTCACACGGCTGTACCGGGCGGCTCTGCCCACAGAGCCTCCCCACGCCCTGAGTAATTGCCCAGCAATTCGTCGGCGGCGGCGGTGGCGGCAAGGTTAGGGGATTTTCTCTGATTTCACCCAGGCTGTTGATGCAGCTTGTTGGGAAGCGTTTGTGGGGATGAGTCATTAATTAAAGAAACTTTGCTGGTGAAGAAAAGGCTTGAATGCTCCAGCAGACTTCCTATTTCTCAACAGCCCGTTCTCAAAGCGTTCCGAGTGGCGGGAGCGAGCTGGCAAATCATTGACTCCGGCATTTCGACAGCGCTCGGATTTCTCAGCTGCCTGGCAAATAAACAGCAACAAATGACAGCGCTGGCATGGGTACAGCAGCCCTGGCTACAGCCCTGGGTACGGCTGCGTCGTGCAGCATGGCACTGGGTGCTCCCACAGCTGCTCCTTGCTCCCCGGGGCCACTTTGCTTCTTGCCACCTCGGGCTGGGGGTTGCCAGGAGGGACAATCGTTGCTTGTTTGGGTTTCACAGTGGCTTTTGTTCCAAGCTCTGTCCCTGTTGGATGCTGTGTTAAACCACGAGCTGGGCGAACGCGCGTCTTTTTTTTTTCCCCCAGTGTTTCTATATGCAAACTAAAAATAGTTCTTTTGTATTGCATCTGAACGCCACGTGACTCTCCTTCTCGTGCAACCCGGAGCTCTTTGCAGCCTCCCAGTACTTAGAGGGAGCTCGGAATGGGAGGAGGAGGACTTGTGATGTAGGCAGATGGTTTTAAACCGTTCCCCCCCTTGTCTTAACGCTAATAGAGGGGAGATTTAGGTCAGATAGGAGGGGGGAAATTCTTTACTCCTGGGGTGGTGAGGCCCCAGCATTGCCCAGAGCTGTGGGTGCCCCATGCCTGGGTGGGCCCTGGACAACCCAAGCTGGAGGTGGCACCCAGCCCATGGCAGGGGTGGGACTGAGGGTGCTTTGGGGTCCCTTCCAACCCAACCTTGCTGTGATTTCATGGATCTGTAATCTTTGAGGACCGTTCAACCCAACTAT